TGTCGACTCTTCACAGCCTTCCACCTATGATTTTTGTGTCGAATCTTCACAGCCTTCCACCTATGATTTTTGTGTCGACTCCGCACAGCATTCCACCTATGATTTTTGTGTCGATTCTTCACAGCCTTCCACCTATAATTTTTGTGTCGACTCTTCACAGCCTTCCACCTATGATTTTTGTGTCGACTCTTCACAGCCTTCCACCTATGATTTTTGTGTCGACTCTTCACAGTCTTCCACCTATAATTTTTGTGTCGACTCTTCACAGCCTTCCATCTATGATTTTTGTGTCGACTCTTTACAGCCTTCCACCTATGATTTTTGTGTCGACTCTTAACAGCCTTCCACCTATGATTTTTGTGTCGACTCTTCACAGCCTTCCACCTATAATTTTTGTGTCGACTCTTCACAGCCTTCCACCTATGATTTTTGTGTCGACTCTTCACAGTCTTCCACCTATGATTTTTGTGTAGACTCTTCACAGCGTTTTACCTATGATTTTTGTGTCGACTCTTCACAGCCTTCCACCTATGATTTTTGTGTCGACTCTTCACAGCCTTCCTCCTATGATTTTTGTGTCGACTCTTTACAGCCTTCCACCTATGATTTTTGTGTCGACTCTTCACAGCCTTCCACCGATGATTTTTGTGTCGACTCTTCACAACCTTCCACCTATGATTTTTGTGTCGACTCTTCACAGCCTTCCACCTATGATTTTTGTGTCGACTCTTCACAGCCTTCCACCTATGATTTTTGTGTCGACTCTTCACAGCATTCCACCTATGATTTTTGTGTCGATTCTTCACAGCCTTCCACCTATAATTTTTGTGTCGACTCTTCACAGCCTTCCACCTATGATTTTTGTGTCGACTCTTCACAGCCTTCCACCTATGATTTTTGTGTCGACTCTTCACAGCCTTCCACCTATAATTTTTGTGTCGACTCTTCACAGCCTTCCATCTATGATTTTTGTGTCGACTCTTTACAGCCTTCCACCTATGATTTTTGTGTCGACTCTTAACAGCCTTCCACCTATGATTTTTGTGTCGACTCTTCACAGCCTTCCACCTATGATTTTTGTGTCGACTCTTCACAGCCTTCCACCTATGATTTTTGTGTCGACTCTTCACAGCCTTCCACCTATGATTTTTGTGTCGACTCTTCACAGCCTTCCACCTATGATTTTTGTGTCGACTCTTTACAGCCTTCCACCTATGATTTTTGTGTCGACTCTTCAAAACTTTCCACCTATGATTTTTGTGTCGACTCTTCACAGCCTTCAACCTATGATTTTTGTGTCGACTCTTCACAGCCTTCCACCTATGATTAAGATGGTTGGATTTGAGAACGTGATCGTGCCGAAAGATTTAAATTTTATGTGTTTATGTATTCCCCTATAGTCTGCTGTAGTGTGTTTTTTTTTGAGAAAAAAATTCCAAAAATATATTGATAATTTGTTACAAAATGTCATTCGGAATTAAGGTTAAAATTGCACCTAACCCTAATGTGTATCAAAAGTTCATAATTCGGGGCTGGTTTAAGCGCCCTGTATTTTAACCAGTGATTCTGTCCTAGGGATCTGTGGATGTCCAGTGTATAGCTCTATGTGTCATGATGTGTTGTACTGTATTGTATCCCATTACCTTTTTATTTGGTATGGACAGACTTGAAGTGTTCGATCATACTAATCGGTTGTCTTTATTTATATGAAGTCTAATCTAATAAAAATAGTAATAAATTGGGCTAGTGGAGGAGTGGGTGGACATGGGCCCGCACGTGGTGATGTTAATTGGCCCCATCTGTCCATCCGATTCTACCACAGAAGCTGGTCCCTTCTTACCCATGCCACTCTTTTTCCTATTTATATTTTCTAGTGTGCTAGTATAAGAAAAACAAAAATAGATAAAAGCAAACAGAGGTAAAAAAGGATCTTTTTTGTTATGTCACTCTGTACTGCGTGTAGTTAAACTATCTCGTAGTTGTTAGTGTATACCCGTGTTTTTGGTTTCGTGATGTTCTTGTATTATGGCCGTCCGTTTGGAGAGCATAGGTGAGATCCTTGCTACCTCCTCGCGTGAGCCCCGTAGTATAAACATCACACCATCATCCGGTTATTGGTCATTTTGGCAAAAAACCTCTCTCATGTGTGTTTATACTTTTGTCCCTAATATTGTTAATGTTATGTCAATTGCTATGAGATAGAAGATCAATATGTTATATTGTTGCTTCTGTATCTAACGTTAGACTGTCTCCCCTTCCTGCAGCAAGAAAATGATATGGGAGAGAGGTGGAGGGAAGAGGAAATCGCAGCTCCCTTTCGGGTTGCATCTCCAAAGCCTTCTCTCCTAGCCTATTAATCTCTATTACCTGTACTGACCCTCGTAAACCCCCCCCACTTCCTCTTGCTACGCCAGGAAGACCGTCCAAATATAATAATAAGGATCTTATGGAACTCTGCCAAACTTAATAAAATTAAATCTCATCTTGTTGATTTTATCAGTTTGGCTATAAAGATGGAAAGGCCATTCATATGACATTATCTATTATTTCATTCATATATAAAAACTATTTTGACTCTATACTACCATATTTGTTATTAATTTCTTTTTTGAAAAGTTCTTCCCTATTTCTAACTGTATCTTGGCAGTTCAGAATCAAATGGCATTTATTATCGGTGCCCTGCCCGCACTGATGACAGAAGTAATGGGATGTATAATATGTTTATTAAACGCCATTTCTTCCGTCATCAACACAGCATGCTGGTTGGAAAAAGATTGCTCTGTATGCAGGTAGATTGGAAATCCTTCCAGTCGGTTGTTTTTTATTCGACTGGCAGTTTAACATTGTTATTCATCAATTTATTTATCATGGGATGTATTTTTAAATTGTTTTTTTCACTGCAGAACGCTTCCTTTTCCCTATATTCAAATATGACTTTTCTGATCCTTTTACATTTTCTTGGTGGTTCAAAACAAACATTTCGTGTGCATTTTGTTCTTATAAATAGTTTCATTTTGTCTGCATAAAAAAATACACACACACACATACATACATACATACATACATACATACATACATACATACATACATACATACATACATACATACATACATACATACATACATACATACATACATACATACATACATACATACATACATACATACATACATACATACATACATACATACATACATACATACATACATACATACATACATACATACATACATATATATATAAATATATATATATATATATATATATATATATATATATATATATATATATATATATATATATAGCTACTGTGGTTTGCTTATCAATTTTCTTTTTATATTTATACTATATTTTTTTTCAATTACAAATGCAGGGAATACCTAATCCACCTTCATTCTTCAATTTTATATGATTTATATGATTTTTTGCCAAATAGTGAATTATTTTATTCCATATAAAGTGAATAATGTTTTACTCTATTGAATTCAACGTAGCCTCAATCAGATTATTTGTTTATATTACATAGTTAATTTGACTATACATGTAGTTATTAGCCACCTGTATACGTTCCATTAGGTTTAGCGGAACGTATGGCCATGTTTTAGTCTGATCTAATTTTAGCAAAATGTATTTATAGCAAGCTCAATCGAATTTTTTCCATCAATTCCTAGTGTCATTTTGATTAGGTGTTTCTCTGTGGGACTAGAATGAATCTCCGTCCAGTTTCCAAATCAGTAAAATCTCCGTTTTATTATGGTTAATGACAAAACTGAAGACTTACCCCATTTTTTGAATTCATTAAGCAGGTTACTGAAAAAATAGTCATTTGTAACAGAATTCTTACAATAATTATTGTACAATCTTTTGCGTGTAATAAGTTTCTAATTTTGTTTTCAAAATTAGAGATTTGAATCCCTTGAAAATTATTTTTAATTTATATCAATTTTAATATTTTTGTTTAGAACCTCGATGGCTAGTTCAATGGAGATTTTGGATCTTATTCAATTTTACATTGCTTTTATCCAATTGTTAATACTTTCACTAAAGTCACATGTACTAAAATTTTCTGAATGAAACCATGCTCAATTCACTCAAAAGCTATTCCTTTTATATTTTATCCCTTCAATAATTTATTTAATTGATAATGAATTATTTAAAATGTTCCGCCTATTTTCCCCACCTCTTTGACTAGGGTCAACAATTGTTCCAATACGTGTCTTTAGTACTAATCTCTCTTAAATGTTATATTTAACTGCGTCATGGGGAGCCAGTTCGTTTTTCTCCTTTCCGTCCGGTCACATGCACCACCTGCAGTCCAGATCATTTTATAGAATGTTATTTGTCCATCGATCAGCATTACCTATACGGACTTGTTCAAAGAAGCTTACGCAAAGCAAGAAAATGTTAAGAATTTTTCAAATTATCGTCGCATTATTACCTTAAACCGCTCAAACATTCCAAAACACAATGTAATTAACGTGTACATTCATGAAAGGACAAAAGAAACAAAAAGTCATTGCCTCAAGCGCAAATCGCATTCACGAAAGGTAGTAGTTTATATTAACTATAAAATCCAAATTCCTTTCTTTGTAAAAGTTACACCTTACCGCCGGTCAGTGGAATAACGTATATAACAGATTAAACAGAATTGAATATGAATGAGTATCCAAACTGGAATCATAAATAAATACGCAGAAATGCATAAAGAAAAAGAGAGAGTGTGTGTGTGTGTGTGTGTGTGTGTGTGTGTGTGTGTGTGTGTGTGTGTGTGTGTGTGTAAATACCAAACTTTAGAATGGAGTTTCAGAAACAATGTTTCCTTGAGTCTCCCCAACCACGTTGCAAAAATTTCCCAGTATTCCGATGGGCCATAACGAGAATGAAACGGTATTCTCTTTTTTTATAGGATACCTACAGTTATAGGAGTATTATGTACTAGGGGCATCATACTTAAGAGTACTGGCTCAATCTTAGAAATACAATAGAAACTCTAGGACCTTTCTCCTGGCCTAAGTGGTCAGAACGTCCGCCTCAGATGCGGATGGTAGCGGGTTTGAACCCCGGCCGAGTCATACCAAACTCTTATAAAATTGTACTAACATTTGCCTCGCTTTGCGCTAGCTATATAAAGGTTCGTGTTAGGACTACTCGGCTGGTATCAGAATAGTATTACTGGGTGAAACATGATGCCACATATCTGCCACGTGATACACTAATGCTAGACATTACTATAAACTGCCACACTGCATAAATTGTAGCAATAAAACGTTAAAAATCAAAATCAGAGAGAGAGAGAGAGAGAGAGAGAGAGAGAGAGAGAGAGAGAGAGAGAGAGAGAGAGAGAGAGAGAGAGAGAGAGAGAGAGAGAGAGAGAGAGAGAGAGAGAGAGAGAGAGAACTCAAAATCGCAACATGCCAGGTAAGGCGAGTGCGAAAATAATGCGTTTTGTTTTACTATGTTTTCAATGTTTTATATATATGACTGTTTCGTGTCGTTAGCTATAACTTGTTATATGCATTGACCTTCATTCACTGCTTGAGATTCTGTGAAACTGTTGAACAACGGCGATTAATGTAAACTGTACGGTATCTTGTCGCTAATGTATAGATTTCCTGTCATGGTTCCTTTTGATTATCCAACTTGATTTTCGGGATATGACTTTACGGTAGACTACATCGGGTCCGCGTTATCATCAACGTTTTCGTTTCCCCGGTTGACGATGCTTTATCCGCTTAAAATAATATCCCTCGTCATGATTGTGCCTGATAATAAAGACTTTTTATTCGCGTGTCACACCATGGCCTCAGACGTTTCATTGGTGCTGTCAGATGTGGGCATATTAACGATTCGCCTTCCGATCATGCTCAGTTCTGCAATCATAGCATCACCGGTTTCATTGACTTAATGAATGAAATCTCCGCTAGATACTCTACCGCTTTCACACACGACAAAAGTGCCATGCTATTAGTAAGAATAATCAAATCGTGAATGAGAACATTTCAGTATGTGGTTACGTTTTTTTTTTTTCGGTAGAGCAACATCATTAACATAATTAACTTTAATTCTGATAGAATGCTAAACCAAGATACGGTTTCTGGTTACCAGACTAACATTATATGATCATATCCCAACTTGATGCGATAAGACAAATTTGCTCCTGAACAAAATGCGATATCATCACTGTTTCTACTCACAACACGGGCCATGACACATATTAAACGTTATCGGATTTGGGATTTTGAAATCTACAAAAAGACGCTCTGATTCGTCGTCTACAGATTGGGATGTGACCACGATCACTGAGCCAAACGTCTACAGATCGCGGGATGTGACCACGATCACAGAGCCAAACGTCTACAGATCGCGGGATGTGACCACGATCACAGAGCCAAACGTCTACAGATCGCGGGATGTGACCACGATCACAGAGCCAAACGTCTACAGATCGCGGGATGTGACCACGATCACAGAGCCAAACGTCTACAGATCGCGGGATGTGACCACGATCACAGAGCAAACGTCTACAGATCGCGGGATGTGACCACGATCACAGAGCCAAACGTCTACAGATCGCGGGATGTGACCACGATCACAGAGCCAAACGTCTACAGATCGCGGGATGTGACCACGATCACAGAGCCAAACGTCTACAGATCGCGGGATGTGACCACGATCACAGAGCCAAACGTCTACAGATCGCGGGATGTGACCACGATCACAGAGCCAAATAAAATCATTTTATCGAACATTATCACGATCTGGTGTTTTAAGACATTCAAATTGATCGTCAAAGCATGAATAAAATCAGAGAGTAATTTTCGCTCTCAAGAAAGAATAAATATATCACGATTTGTTTCGCTCAGTCTTATTATGATGTCCACAAGAACATCAGGAAAAACACAGGCTGCTTCTTACTGTTACCGGGTCGGATAATACATCGAGTATCTCAACATGAAATGAACAAACATGGACTAAGTTCTTATTACAACGGCAGTTTTGCTAACAGGCGAGCATTAACTAATAAAAAGAGATCAAATATGGACGTTACTCCTGTTGAGCTTGATATTCAGATTTTATCCCGCATTGTACTTTGCGGAATAAAACATGCAATATAACTAAACGTAACAGTCATGCAAATTATGTCCTTTCAGTCGAACAGTTTGGGTTTGAGACGTTTTCGTTGAGGTGTCAAAGATTACATCGTCGCTGGAACACGCGATTGGGCTTGACAATTTCCTGTCGAGGTTTTTCATACATTTATTTCGAGCAACAGCAAGAATTCAGAGAAGTTGCCTAATCGGTAACCCCCCCCCCAGCCTAGTGTCACATAGAGATCTCAGGAAAACCCGGTTCGGAACTATGGCGACACTTCTATATTGTTTTTCTACTCGGAAAACGGTGATCCATAAATGAACATGATTTTTGTTCACCTAAACCTGAGAAGGATTAACGTGAGGTTAAATAGTGGGAAGTATCTGGAAGAAAATTCGAGTGAAATTACGAGGATGATGTGAAAAATATTTACGAGCGAGCTGATGTTTGTCGGGGCGATGAAAACATACCAAGACACAGAAAACGGTACGCAAGTATCTGTGGAAAAGTTTAAGAACTTTTACCTGATTTACCATTTCGACGATCCTCGGATGAGATTTCATGTCTTAAATCGAGATAAGATGAACGCTTAAGCGCCTAATCCTACAGATCCTAAAATTACGAAACTTGCTAGAATTCCGATATAAGCTGCTGACATTCGTTATCACGTTCACGTGCTGTTAACATCCTATAGGTTTCTGACGCTCGAAGAGTTGTCTGGTAAGATCATTGTGATCTTTTACGAGTTAATTATAGTTTGACGATCAAAATTTGATGGATGGAGGTGAATTTTCTAATATAAAGTTAATGTACAAAGAATGTCTTACTTGCCAACGAATTTGATCTCAAGACCTCACGGTGGTGTTATCAATGTCCCAGGCAGCTGCAGAAGGACCTCATAAGATAATATTAACATCGATCTACATAAGGTGTTATCCAAAGAGCTACCATCTAGAATCTGACTTATTTGAAAATGTCTCGATCGCAATTTTAAAAACCAGGAGTGTTTTAGTACCAAAAACAAGGAGTATTTCTTGGCCGATAAAGCCGATGATCACGTCACTACTCCAAAAAATATTACCCGTGTTGAGAACGCTTGGAATCTTAGCCGCAGCAGAGCACTAATAGGCACATTTGGAAGCGATCTTCCCGCGATGTGATACCACTTATGACCATGACGCCTGGTAGAGGCTATACAAGCACTAAAATCAGCACCGAAAAGAAGATTGTCATTTCATGCATAATAACAACTGTAAATGTATGTCGCGTAAATAAACCAGTTATACGGGGAATCATGGTACTAAATATACATTCGGAGTCGTTTTGACTGTAGGCATTGGCGTTTGCAGTAAACGCCCTAATGTTAGCCTTGAAAGTAAATACACTCAATTTGCTTTAAGAAAAACCCAGCACGCAAACGTACGGTGGCGCTTGCTTTTGAAAATCCTGAACATGTCCTCAAATTTGATTTTGTTCTCAAAGACCAGATTCAATATGGAGAGTAGATTTCGAATGTAGTAATTCCGCATGTATCGTTGCGGTGGCTTGTAGTGTGCGTGTTTGCATTTGACCCATTGTTGATTCTTCGTTGTATGATTGATTATGATCTGATTTAAGGTGGTCTAGTTTTTCAAATTGATGATATACGACTTTCACTACATATTCATCAAAGAGAATTACGACGATAGAGCAAAACTTCTTTTTTTTTTACACAGACACGCATAGTCTCTGTTACGAAGTCAAGACCAAGACCGAAAACGTATATGCTGATATATATGGAGCGCTAGAGCTGTTTGACTTCTCGGATGGATTATCCTCAAGAAAGTCAATAGTATGATCCGGTTAACTATGAAAGTTACTGGAAAGTTTACAGATGAAAAGTCATCGGCCCCAATTATCCGATAGAAGCATAAAAAACAGCCAAGGGAATAAAACTAATATTGTCATGCAAATAACGCATGATGATTATTTTACAGGGCTACAAGTTGTGTTTCACAGACCAACGATGAACACTATTCAATCTATGAATCTCACGATGTGTATGTGCATGCTTAACAAACATGGATCTAGCTGCTATGACGATAAACAATACGTGTACAAGGATGAAATTACTGTACAAGCTCAATGCCAGTTTGATGTCGGACAAAAAAGTGACTGACATTGTGTCAACTTGTCTGAGTTAGGACTATAATAACGATTATGTTAAAAAAATGTTATCATATATATATATATATATATATATATATATATATATATATATATATATATATATATATATATATATATATATATATATATATATATATATATATATATATATATATATATATATATATAATTTATTTCCATAGTATAGGCCGTTCTTGGTAGGTGATGCGAAAATAAATGTACAACCGGTTTTAACCTCGGCATGCGCATCGTCACATATTTTGAAAACCTCATTTACGCCAAACTTTAACTCGCAATCATTACGGAGGAAAATGGTCCTTCCCTGTAGTTAGTTTGAAGATAATGCGCAATAACATGACAATGTGACTTCGGAGACACGGTCATTGTATGTTATAACATCGCACAGAAACATTTCCAAAGATGGCATACTAGGCCTGTTTGTCCAGTTAATAATACACCGCGGTTTTATGAAATCAATGCTGTAAAGGTGGAGGCAGAGATAGAGAGAGGTATATCAATATTAGGTCCTGACAACATTTTAATTTCTCATAGTGAACACCAATCGGATTCAATACTCAAGGACCATAAGGAGATGGCAGACAATATTGCGAACTAGATACAATCTGAGAAGTGACAATAAAGACATCATAAAAGTAAGGCCATAACTCATTTTACATATACTACTCCAATTTACCTACATACTTGCATACCCACCAACCTACTTACATTCATGCGTACCCACCAACCTACCTTAATACATGCATACCCACAAACCTACTTACATACATGAATACCCACCAACCTACCTACAT